TTCCAATGTAGTTACGCAAGTTTTGAATCTTTATACTTTTTTTCGACGTGAATCTTTTCCACACTGAATCTTCACAAAACGCATACATTAATAGCCGCGCATTTACACACTAGCACACGGAGCCCCGCCCCTATGGCCACGCCCCTTTTTTGTTTTTCGCAGAATTTGATTTTTCTTCCGAATTTTCACTTTTTTAGGCTGTAGCAAGTGGCTCCGCCCACTTTGTAGAAGCCCCGCCCACTTTTGAAAAATGATGCAGATCGGCGGGCTAGAGTCCGTACTGGCAGGTTATGGCCTCTCCCGTCACATAGAATGGAAAAAAGGGGAACTTGGTCCGAGTGACGGCAGAGCATAACCTGCCAGTAAGTACTCTAGCCTACCGACCTGCATCATTTTTTGAAAGTGGCTTCTACAAAGTGGGCGGAGTTCCTATTAGTGGGCTGGGCCGCTCGCTGCAGCCTAAAAAAGTGAAAATTTGGAAGAAAAATCAAAATTCCGCGAAAAACGAAAGTGGGCGTGGTCAGAGGGGCGGGTTAGTGTGCTAGTGTGTAAATGCATGGCTATTAGTATATTCGTTTTGTGAAGATTGAATGTGAAAAGAACGACGTCGAAAAAAGTTATAAAATTCAAAACTTGCGGTAACTTCATTGAGGGGTGAGTCAGATCTGTGTCGGTACCAATCCTTTTGAAGTGTGTGTGCAACTAGCAAAAGTGAAAAAAGTCGAAGAAGCAGATTTCATAAAACATTTTGGAAAACCGTGACCGCGCTGAAGAAGTGGGCGGGGATGTTGGGGCGGGGCTTGCAGCAGTACCTAGTGTGGTCTAGTTCTCAACTGCCCATTGTAAGGGGTGTGTCCGATTTGGTTTGAAAAGTGTCCGCTTTAAAGTGAAAATGGTATAAGTGCGCGCGGTATCGCGATCGCCGCGCACGCGAACACCAAACGGGACTCTAAGTTGACATAAATTGCTCTTTTCGAGATTTTCAATTTGTAATGGACAGTTGTAGAAGATGCGGCCATAAAAAGGAAACAGTAAAAGTTGGATGATCCAAGAAGCAAAAGGTCGATAACATAAGTTTGGTACAAAATACAGTAGGGGAAGACTCGTATTGAAGAAATTCGCAACAATTTGGGAAGTGCGTTCACTTATATGATTTTCGACCGATAATGTGTTTTTTTCTCATAGAACCGTGAACTCAAATTAATCTTAGCATAGACTCTCCCCCATGCTTTCGAAACCGAAAAACCCACAAAACATAAAACTTGCAACTACTGAATGTGTCGTTAAGTTGCGTCCATGCTTAGCGACGACTGAACGACGAGCGACTACAGGAAGAAGCGCAAAATAAAAAATCTAAATCTAATCTAATCTAAATACAAAAAATCCTCTGATGAACTCTCAATGGCCCTGTCAGAATCGACCACAATTTCCTTTTCCTACACTACTTTGAATTACTAGAGTGGAGACTCTCATTTTGTCGCTAATTCTGACATTTTCTCTCTCATCCCTTCAGTGTTTTGTTTTATGATCGCTTCCTCCAAAGATGTCCCTTCCGAATAAACTTTCTTCGGAAAAAAGAATCGGTTTCAACTAGCACCATCATATTTAGTATTATTGCATGCGGCGGAAGCGACTTCACGCTTAGTTACACTCCTTATCCCCGAGACGGGGTAGGCGTGGCATTTGGACATGGCATAGGATGGTTACTCGTGGGATACTTCAGTTTGAGACAACTGTCATCTTGTTCAGTGTTGGACAAAGAAATGATCACATTTTTCTCAGAAAGAAAATGTCATAAAAAGTACACAAGTCGCAGCCACGCCTACCGCATCTCACTGATTTCGAGTGTATCTAATGACGAACTTATCTACAGGACTTTAGGATAAGTAAAATAGTAATAAGTCAGCATGGATGACGCCTTCAACGGTGCTTTAAGCTCCTATTCGGAATCGTATTTTTTCGAAGAAACCCTCGTGGGGAAAACGTTGAACTACTGTTTGTTGGAAGTCTGGAACAAGTTAGCAAATTTGGAGAAGTGGAAGATTTGGTGAACCAGAAGGGGTGGTCGAGAACTTTTGGATTATTACGGAGTGGTAATGCTCGCAGCAAAATGAAATGCACTAACTTACCACCTCTCTTTGTTCTGGGATACTGGAACGATAAAAAGAGTCAATTTTGAGTTGAATATACCTGATATGTGAGCGCACAGTAGATAACAGAAGTGAAGCGCTGCTCTGAAACATATGAATTTAGCAATACCAAGGAGCTAACGATGTTGATCCACACCCACAGCAACAGAGGAGAGTGGTGAATAGTCCAAGCAAGCTCAACTCTCATCGAATGGAGATGTTTGAAAAGAAAGGTATCGTTTTTGAGTGTCGTAGGCGAGTTCCGAGTTGATATCTCCCTTCAGACCAAACCAGTCCTACTCCTTCGAGTGCATCTTACCATCACGAGAAGAAAGTGGGTTCACCTATTCCTGCATTTTCCTCAACATACTCTTCATCCGGTTTGTTCTCTTTTTCGTTGTTGTCGTTCCTTTTCTTAGTATAGTTGCTATTGTGTCGAAGTTACAGCGTCATCTCTGCACAACAGTAATCCACGTTTTTCGGCTACTCCATCACCGAACGATTCTGGATATGATGCAGGTGTAAGCGGTGAGTAATCACATTCAGCGCAGATGTTCAGGAGCTCTTACCTGACGCTCTACTCTCACTTTTATACAATAGGAACTGTCTCTGGCGGTGTAAGTTGGGCCAGTTGTCCGTTAAGCGTTATCTCACTAATCGCTATCGCTGCGAATTACAGCAGGTTCCTTTTTGGTCTA